TTTACATAGGACAAAGCTTTAGGGCAAATCACAAGCATCAGAAATGCCAGCCTTACTGAGAGACTTCTGTGATATTTATTGAGAGTGGGGAGGGTCAGTTTGTGCCCAAACACATGGAACAGGTGCTGATGAAACTATCCTGCATGTTAAGTGTTCTCCCACTCCCAGAGAGACTTCTCTTCCTGCTGGCTTGTCCAGTTAGCTGTCTGTGGGAATTCCAAACACAGAAAGCTCTCAAAATCTTGTAAATACAAGCTTAGATATAGACATAGATACAAGTTTTGACCTGAGGCCTTAGAGGAAGCTTCCAAGCTTAGAATCGTAAGTAAGAATGTGAATTTAAATAGAAAGACATCAAGTTAAGTTGTAAGAAATGTTAAGGTTTTAAAGTTAATATATAAAAGTAATAAGAAGTTTAAGGTATAATAAGTAGTCTTGTGTGTCACTACATGACTAGAAAAGAAAGTGCACACTGCAGCAGAGAGGTATCAAACAAAATAGTTATTAGTGTGAAGGCAGAAACATTCTTTTGTGGCATTAGTTTATTGGCTAAATAACTTCTTTTAAAAGGCCTTGTAACCTCTGGTCTTGTGACCACTGACCAAGAATATGTGGTAAATAAGGTGAAGACGTACTTACTCCTTCATGAGTAAGTGTCCTTCAGTCCGGTGAGAGCATCAGCCCGCAGGTCCTGCCTGGGAGGTGGTGCCTGCTGTAGGTCTGTCCCTGGCAGGGCAGGCAGCCTTGGATTTGTGTGTGGTGCTGAACTGTCACCCCTCTGAAAGAGGTGATTAGGTAAGAATGCAGCCACTTCCATTTGTGAGCTGCACAATCGCAATTCACCGGCCACTTGCTGAGTCCTGATCCGTCCAGCCCTGTGGTTCTGACACTGCTCGGTTTGTGATCCCTTCTCCAGGGAATTGAGCCAGCTAACAGCCAGGTGGCTTTTCTCTTGTGATCCACCTGGAATGCCCTACGGGGACCTCCAGGACTAAGAAAAGCTTGGAAAAAGCGAGCAGTTTGGACTAGGAAAGAAGCAAACAGTTTCTGCATCTGCTGAGGGAGGGGTCACGGCTGTTTAAGCTCCAAGGAGGAGTTTGCAGAGCATCTCCAAATGGAAGCAAACTATTGATTATGTTGTTCCACTTAGCCTGAAGGGTCCACAGTAACATCCTGAACCTACACAGTGAATGTGATTAGATATCTGCTGGCATCAACACCCCTATTCCATCTGGAAAAACACGCTGTCAGCTGTGATCAAGACGTGAGATCTCAGTCTGTAGCCCCAGAAGGAAACTGTCTAAATCAGCAGCTTGTGGGCCATGATCTGCAGATCCTCTGTTGTCTGTGAAAGTCTTCCAAGAATTAAATAGGATGTGAGAGGAGGGGGTGCTTCTTTGGAAACAGCTGGAGGAAATGGACCAAGTGAAACACTTCTCTCTGAGTAAGGACCGGTTCCATGGGATGCTGCAGAACATCATGGTAAATATGTTGGTGATGAGCATGCATGAGATCCTAATGGTGCTGCTGTTTGGATCATTTTGTTTGCTTGGTTGGAATATTTTTTTGGAATAAGCAGCAATATATTCTCTGCCATCCTGGATGCATGCCAGTAAAAGTCCTAAACCTTCCTTCCTAGCATCTGTATATAATATAAAGGGTCATTTATAATCTCTGTAAGCCATGATGGGGCCTTTCCTCACGTTGTCTGAAGCCTGCTTGCATTCTGGAGGCTGTTCTTGCTGACTTTTGGCTTGCAAAGAGAAGTCTTGGGATGGTTTTGTCTGTCTTTCTTCTGTAATCACTGTGCTATTTTATCTGCAGTGAGTTCCAAGCTGTATGTCCTAATACATCCTTGACCAGCTGTGTTCCTGTTTTTGGCTCACCTGCCTGTGTGCCACAGTAAAAAACCCTAAAAGTTGTATTTGTAGGAAAATTATGCTTTTTATGGGAAGCCAAGAGTGTGATGTACCTTTCACTCTGGGCTGTGGGTACCTTTGTAACCCAGCTCTCCTGTTGGTAAAGAGAGAAGTTGGAGGAATCTGTGTTCACATTTGATTAGCTGAGTGTCTTTGAGGTCTGCCCTTGTTTGGTTTTTTTTATGCCCACACTGGTGTTTCTGCTTTAGAGCTGTGGTGATTAAGTGTGGTACTTTATCACTGTCACTGCTCTCTGTGCTCCTGCTCAGGAAGGTGAAAGGTTGTCCCAGGGTTTGAGTGAAGGATCTGTTACCCTGCCATGAGCTGTCAGTCCTGTTCAGCCTGGCAAACCCATGTGATGGCTTCAGGCAAGGAAAGCAATGCATGGAGAGCCTCAGGGAAGCTTCTCACTTCCTGTAGTGAGTGATTCCTTTTATAACAGGTCCCTGAGCAGGTCATGGGAAGAAATGAATCTGGGAAGGTGTTGGGTTTGTCCTCACCCCAATGTGCTGTAGAATGAGAGCAGCCTTTATCTTCAACTGCTGCCCAAGGTGCTGTCATGAGGTTGTAACAAGTTCTGTTCAGCACCTCTCTTTTCTGTGAAAGGCTGTTCCCAGGCAGAAATTACAACCTGATTGCCAAATTCCTTGGACTGGGAAGGGGATGTGTGTACCTGCTCTACTTGATCCTTAGAATAAGCTGTTAAAAATGTGAGCCCTACTTAGATAACAGCAGTTTGGAGCTTGTTTGGAAAGAAAAACTATGCATTGTAGCAGGACCCACTAAAGAGAAGCCTGGCAGATTCAGCCTTGTGTGTAGCTTAGAATAATCAACCTTTCTTGCAGTTTTTGATGTAGACAGCCTGCAGAGTGCCACCTCCAGAGTCACACATGAAGTGCCAGACTCCCAAACTGCTTGAAAATAATCCTTGAAGGAGCAAGATGACATTAAATTTGTGTCTATGCAAGGGAAGCCTAAAAAGGGTAATGGTTAGTTTCCATTCTCTCCTTAGGAGTTGCGATTTTGAGCTGCCATTGTCCATTAACAAGAGCAGATTGGCTGCCAGATTCCCTCTGGCAATTCCAGAGTCTGCTCCTATCACCTGCCTTTCTCTTCTGGGGTGTTGGGTGGTGTTTGCCTTCATTCACCTCATTTCCCTTCAGGAATATGAAACTGTCTAATTTCAGCATCAGATATGAAGGGTTTTTCCAGAGTGCATTTCCCATCGCATGATGAGATTTACCTCTGCCTGGACAAACCCCCTGACTAAGGCTTGGAGAGACCAAATGGCTGATTGCACCAAGTGTGCAAGTGAAATGTAAAAGAAAACTTTGAATTATCACATTTTCAGCCTTTAGCTCCTGTTGTTTCTTCTGGTCCTGCTCCCTAAACTTTGTGTGGAAGTTGTGTTGAGCCCGCTAAAGGATCTGATGTCATCATGTGATCTGAAGCTTCATTAACTTAATCTTTTCCCCCCTTGTTTTACCCATTGTTTTGATGCTGCAGATGTCAGTAGAGACATTTGGGTACTGATCCCTGTTCACACACCACAGATCCCTGACAAATCTGAGCTAAGTGGTTCTGTAAGACCTCCCTGCCCATCTGGGGTCACCTCAGGTGTGCCCACAGTCCACACTCCCTGATGAGGAATCCCAGGGGGTTTGTGGTGAGTGGTGTCTCAGGGCAAGCTGCATGGCTGAGCCTTGTCACTGCTGCTGGGCTGGTGGCACTGGGCACAGAGCCACTTCTCCCTGGGTGTCCCAGCGTTCCCGGCCGGCTGTAGCCGAAGGGTCAGCGAGCAGCCCGCTGGCCCCATGTGGTCCTGGCATGTGTGCCTCCTATTCATGGAAATGGGAGCTAGCCAGAGAGCAGGGATTCCTGTGGAGATGGGAGGGGAATGCAGAAAGGGGAAAAAAGCAACAAATGCTGTAAATGGCATGTTCTGGGGAAATCAAACTGACATAGAGGAGGTGGTTTAGGGAAGGAGAAGGGGATGTGCAGGTGCATTTCCACTTTGATTTTTGATGCGCAAGGTTGGGGAGTCACTGTAGTGCTTGAAGGGATCGGCTCTATTGAGGGTTCTTGCTTTAAGATAGATGAGGAGCCAGGACTCTGGCTCAGCAGGGAATGCTTACACAAGCACTGGGCGTGTTGTGGAGCACAAGCTGGTGTCTCCACGTCCCACAGTGACCCCAGTTCTGATCCCCAGTCAGTAGGAAAGCGACTCTCAAACCTGTTAACTACACTGATGTACTACAAAAGCATCACAAAACATTCCACACCAAAATACTCACAAAAACATGAACCAGTATTTGGCAAAGATGAGCAATGCTTGCAAGGGGGAAATGAAAGTATCCTTTTTTTGTACCCCTCAAGCATGTCACTGGAACCTAAAACTTTTGTTTTCAGAGAAGGTCCCTGAAGGCTCTCTAGGTCCTGTTTCCCTGTGCTGATACTGCAGTTCCTCCTGTCTCATATGCCTTGCAGTCTGTCTCTCTCCAGACTGTGAGACACTCGTCCCTCTCTCCCCTGCACTTTCCCTTGCTCGTTTTTAGGCAGTAACCCCAGAAGGACAGCAACAGGACTTGTTCTGCACCCAGCTTGTTTGAGCCCTGCTGACAGAGAACTCCACCACACCAAAAAGCAGAATTTTCCAACTCTGCTGTCATTCAGAATGGTGGGAGGCTGGGGAAGGATACCATGACAAGCAGGATGGAATTAAGACCAGTACAATGGGAGCTGACTATCAGGAGATTTGGAACATTTCTTTTTTTTCTCAAGTCCTATTGTTTCTGATAAGTCACAGAACTAAATTATGCACTGTAAAACTCTGGCCTCTGACAACCAAGCAAGAGGCATTACTGGATCTGTGGTTCAGGTTGGCAGGAACTGGGAATCTTTCTGTAGCTATTGGAAGGAGAGGGTGGGGTGAGAAGTGAAGACTGCGAGTTAGCCTGGCTATGGCTGACAGAAGAAACCACCCCACCCCCAGATTCTTGGTCTGTTTTTCCTGCAGTCTGGTGTGTGTTGGTTCACTGGTTGTCTCAGGGGAGCTCCCTAATGTGTCCTTTCTCTCTGCAGGCACTGGTGTCACTACACAGTCACAAGGACAGTCTCCTGCCAGGTGCAGAACGGGTCAGAGACGGTCATCCAGAGAGTTTATCAGAGCTGCCGGTGGCCAGGACCTTGTGCCAACTTAGTGAGGTAAAAATCTTCATGTCTCATGTTGCCCAAATCTTCCTGCCCTTTCTCTTTGGTTGGCTGGTGAGTGCTGCAGAGAGGGCTGAGATCAGAGGCTCAGGTGGGATGTCCTGCTTTGGGGTGCTGTGACCGAAGAAGGCCACTGGTGATAACTGCAGGGTAATCACAGGTGAAGGTAAGTGCAGCATTGTGTCCAATTTTAGGAGCTCTCTAAACACAGGGTCTAATTTAGAAAGGAGACATTGTTCATGCTGTGCAAGGTGGAGGTTCCCACAAATCAAGCACACCGAGGGATAAAGTATTACATCTTTTATACAGGACAGTTTACATGAACCCATCTGTTTAATATACATTCTCCATCTACCTAATGCCTGTTTATTTGAGTGATATAATCTTACACAAGATGCTTAAAATATAAGGTTCTTCTTTTATTAAGCAGCTTCTACTGTACAACATGACAAGATCATTTATATTTACAGAAGGGGACAGACAGTTCAATTTAATGACACCAGTTTTAGGACAAGTTATGTGAAACAGTTCAGCTCAGGCTTTAGTGCCAGTTTGTGCTTCTCCACACAGGAGGCTGCTGCTGGTCAGGCATGAGAGGAGATAAATGTTCAGTGTGACTGGACAGGGTGAGCAGGGATGCTGCATCGATGGATCTGTTTGTCCTGTTGGTATCAAGTCCTCATACTCAGGGCTGTAGTGGTGATATTGATCACATACACAGGAAAGCTGTGATCAAATCCCTTATAGGCAATGAGGGACAAAGGTAATGTGCCAGGTAACTTTCAGGTGGAATTTCTTCAGACTTCCTGGATTTCAGTACCCTTTAAAGACATGAATGTCCTCTCCTCAGACAAAAAACAGAGGTTAAAAACAGCTACTTGTCAAAAATGTGCCCTGAGCCAGCTTTGCCTTTTGATCATTTATAGTCTTGGAAGCTACATGTAAGAAGGAAAAAAAAAAAGTGTGAAATAGCTGTCCCCAGCTACCACCTTTCAGTAAAATGTCTTTGTTGCGCCTTGCCTTCTCTGAAAAGCATTCTCAGAGCAGGACTGTGCTGCCCACCCATCTGGGAATTGGGGCAAAAAAGCCATTGTGCTCTAAATTTGCACCTAGCTTCTAAAACAATTTCCTAAGTAGACAAGCCATAACTTAGCTCACAGAGCTCAATCATTTTATTGCTGTTGTTACCAATTCACCCCCAGGGCACTGGTTGAGGTCCTCCTGTAGTTGGTAACCTGGCCAGAAGGTGACTGCAAGTTGAGACCCACCTCCCTGTTCTTGTGACACTTCATCTAGAATTCACATCAATGGGCTGTTCCCATTGTTGGTTCTCCAGTTTCCTCTTGGCCAGTGGTCAGTCTCGGTTTTTTCACTTGTAATATATCTGCTTTGGTGTCTCTTTGGTCTTTATGCAAGGCTGTGGTTGAAACACTTCATATTTCACACTCTCAATGTGAAACTTCTGTTGAAGCTTTTTAATTTCCCAGGCTTTTTAGGCACATAATTGTCATTAGAAACTTGTGAGCTTTCACCTTGTCTCCTAAACTTGCCAAAAATCTTACTTATTTTTGTTGTTAACGCAACTGGAATTTCATAAGAACCAAACACTTGATCATGTTATTAGTAAAAATTCTTTTTGTGGGCCCCTGCAGTTGATTGATGCCATTGATTCTTACATTAACCCAGAGACTTTAGGAATAGTGTGTGCTGTTGTGACATTGTTCATGGAACATTTTCAGTTTCAAATGTAGTTTGGTTTGTTTGCCTGATGAGTCCAATTGTTTGGAGACAATGCAGAACAGCAGCAGACATCTCAATTTTTCTTTCTGTGTGAAAATATCATGGAAAGAAGCTGGGGTTATTAAATATTCAAGATCTCAGCTGGTGAAAGCAGCTCAGCTAACAGGAGCCGCATTTTTGGAAGATGATCACCATGGAGAAACCTTCCAGAAGAGACAGGAGGACATCAATGCTCTGTTCCCTTTGAGTTGGGAGGAAATGCAGGACGAGAGGATGGAACCCTTCCAGGGAAATACCTGTAATGTCTGTCCTCTAGCCACACATTGTATGACATTCTTGCATGAAGTAGAGAAAGACCCTGCACCTCTCTCCCAAGGACCTCTCAGAAAGCTGCTGACAAAATGCTGGAACTCATCCTCTTAGCATCAGGGGTGAAACAGGTCCTTGATAATTTCCCCTACTGCCACTGTCCGAAAGGGAGAGCCCAAAGAAAGAATAACAACAAAGGTGGATCCTCTGAGATCCTGAGAGTTGAATGGGCTGTTATATAAGTTATCCTCAGCCAAGACATCTTTTCAAGTGGTTGTTTTCAGCAATCAATCTGACATTGATAAGAGAATGAAAAACAGCTGCTGAAAATGATGGATCTTGCCATGTGTGACTGCTGTAGACAATGTTCTGTACCCTGAGCCAGGCTGTGGTTGAGGTGTTGTTTTCTGAGCACACAGCAGCCTAGCACTATTTTGTTGCCAGCCCATAGGGATGGCTTGAAGTGGATTTCTTTTTTTTGGAGTCAAGCTGAAGTTCTAAAACTACTTTTTTAAAAAAAATACTTTTTCCTCCTCTCTCACCAAAATGAGCATTGTCTTTTTAGGAAACACCAATCTCTCTTCTTATTCAGGTAAATCCCATCTCCTATTTTCAGATGAAAACTCCTTGTGTATAAAGGATAGCAATAAGAAAAGCAGTTCCCAAAGTCACAAGGCAGTGTAGTGCCTTTCCTGTTAAGGAACTGGCATTGAAGGGGCTTGTAAACGTTTATCAGCCACCAAGCTATACAACTTCCTTTGACAGGTCTCTGAAAATCCCTGCAGAAAATGAACAGAGCACAAAACTCAGCTTGGATGCCCTACTTGTTTCTGTTTCCTCCTTACCTTGTCTGTACCAGCCTCTCTTTTTGGGATTTCTGGAAGTCTGGCTTCAGGCAAGGTCAGGCTTGTTCCAGGTCTGGTAGTGGCTAAAAATGTTTTGCTCTCTATATCCCTGTGGTTGTATAGGTCATATAAAAATATATCTGCTTTTCTTTTGCCAAAAAAGTAAATTTCAAGTGTCTTTTGGCCTTCTCCTATTCTTCTCTAGGGAGATTTGTGGTGCCTGAGCTTGAATTGAAGTGCAGAGTGTTCTGTATGACTGTAAGCAGTGTAAAATGTCAGTAAGCCATTGGCACCATTTTGGCTTTGTAGTGTTTCTCCCAGCTGTGATTTGAAACAAACTGTTTTCATCTCCTTGTTTACAGGGAGTCAGCCATATCTGGGAGAGCTTTCATTCTGCCAGCACCCTTTATCAGGCTGCTCACTAGCAAAAGGGACGTCAGCCAAGGAAAAAGGCATCTCTCAGACTCGTGGTGACAGCTGAGAGGGGCTCTCTGCTACAGAGACTCCGCTTACGAGCAGACATCAGTGGGGCCAGACAAGGATTTAATCCCTTTCCTGTCTCCCATTCACTCGTGTTGGGTTTCTTTCCCTTACTGCACAAACTGCAGCTCAGGGTCAGGCCTTTGTCAGAGGAGGATCTGAGCGATCCCAGCCTTCTCCCTGGCTGTGAGATGTCCTTGCTGTCCATCCACTTGCTCCTGGGAAGCTGCAGCAGAGTTGCTTTAGCAGGAGTGTCATCATCTTGGCTGGGCTGGGATGAGCTGCTCTGTTCTTGCCCTCCACCCCAGGCTCTTTATTTAGCTTGGGTGCTGAGTTGCTCTGAAGCATTGGAGTTGGCTGGAGGATTTCCCTCAGCAGATCTGTTCTTGAACTCTCTCCATTTGTGCAGCAAAGGCTTTGGCTCCTGTGTGCCACAGGCTGTGCCCTTTCCAGGTCATGCTCCAGGGTGCATGGGCAGCTCTCCTGTAGCCTGGCAGAAGCTTCTGGGCTGCTTCAAACACATGTACCATTTGTCTGTCTGAAGGAAGGGACAAAGTCCCTACCTGGGGGTTTCAGTGGCAGCCTAGTCTCTGGTTCTCTACTGCCTGGATGGTTGTAGCTGGGAGTTACAGCTCCCAGTAAAACCAGGCATCCAAATTGTACCCTTCTCCTCAGCAAGCCTTTTGCTGCAGCAGCTGCAGGGTGGTGCCCAGTCCTGCCCTGCTTGGGACACTGCACTCCTCGAGGCTCACTGAGAAGGGTGGTCTTGAAGGCCAGGCAAGGATTTGACACCTACATTCAGTCAGAAGACAAACACTTTCTGCTTCAAACTGTTGTTGCTCTGAAAGTCCCCATCTCTGGAAATGCTCTTCATTTGTAGTGGGATATTCCAGCTCCTCTCCTACTTGTCCCATCCTTGAAAATGAATGTTCCCAGCAAGGCTGTGTGAGTTTTTATCCTGGTTTTTATACTGCTATGCTTTGCTGTACCCCATGGCTACAGAGCTGTCTCACTTTAGCTTTTGAGTCTCCTGTCTCTACAGCATTTTCTGCCTTTAGACACTTTTCCAGGAAACTCACAGCTGGCTTGTACAGGGATTGGTTTACCTGGTCTCTTACTTTGATAAGAGTCACTGGAACTCCAAACATTAAGTTATTAATCTGTTGGCTTTAAACTTCACTCAGAGCTGGGAGAGATGGAAGGAAGAGTGTTCTTGCAACACAGCAAATCTGGGCTGTGATGCCCTTTCCAGCTGCCTGTCACTGCCTGTTTTTTTATTTCAGTATTGTAGCTGGTTTGGCTTATCACAAATGCTCTGTGCATTTAATGTAAGCAGGCTACACATCTTGCATGGATCATTGTTTGGTGTTTTTGAATGCTGGGTTTTCTTTTTTTTTTTTTTTTTTGTTCTTGATTTAAATTGAACACATTACTGCTCCCGGAGGGATTTTACAAGCTAGTTTGTGGAATAACAAAGAAGGAATTCTGCAGGCTCATCCAATTTGGTCTTCTGTGCTTTTGAAAACTCTGTTGCTACAGGGTCAGTAGGAGAAGTTTGGGATCTGTCACCCAGGAGACTGGCCTGTAGATGATGTTTCCCCTCAGTTTCAGAACTAGTAATGCCACAGGGAAATCCTTCTCTCTTTCTTGCTTTCCAGTCAATTGAATAATAAATCCCAGAGCTTATTCCAGTGTATTAGGATTGCTATTTGAAGTCCTGTTACACATAAACTCTTTTATGTATTTAATTCCCTTACGACTCCACATCTTGGAGAGAAATGTGCTTGGAAAAAGGCATCTGCTCTCCAAAGCACACATGGGATAGAAATGCAGGATGAACAGTGCTCCTGCAAACAGGACAGACAGAGGCTCTGTCTGTGCAGGATTAGAGCTGTAGCACAAAGGGGCATTCTCAGCTTTGAACAATGGCTGTGTGGTGCTGGCTGGGCACAGGTGGAGGGTCACCTGTTTCAGTGGTTGTGCTCAGGCTGCTGATTGAGGCCTTTTGATCTTGCCCAGACATTCTCTGAGCACTCCTTCTCCCTGCTGCAGTGCATCTGACATCTGATTGTTAATAAAGACAGGAGCTGATGATTGCTCTGTGGTGGCATAGAAACATCTGTCTCTGTGTCCTTGGCTTTTTTTCCTGAGACTCAGAGACTGTCAGGTATTGCTGTGGACAGCAGGGCATGGCAGGTAGATAAGTTTGTTTCCTGGCTTTAGTCTTTTGCTAAGTTGTTTGAACCAGACATGTTCAGAGCTAAACAGAACCTTCCTCCTCCCCACTGGCACAGGCAGAAGACACAATGAGCTCCAACACTCCTGCAGCTGCAGGTTGGTTGGTTTTTTTTTTTTTAATCTGGTGCCTGCAGGAACATATTTGAAACTTCTCTGGTTAGGTTTTATCCTGGGGAACTACTGGATTTGTGGTAGGGAAGCTGGAAGAGCTGGGGATGCAGGAAAGAAGAGCACAGGTCTGATTCACAGTGATGGTCTCTGCTGTGCCCATGAGTGTAAATGTTATGGCAAAGGTGCTTTTGAGGTGAAGTTGTCTTGTCTGTGTCACACAGAGGAGCTGCCTGGTGTAATCAGTGTCTGGTAGGCTTTGAGAGGATGGTTTTGATGGTCTCTGTAGGTGTGGTGCTGTTGGGAACCAAATATATATTTGATAGCTTCTCTGAGCTCTTGAACTCCCTTCTGTCCAAGTGCTTTGAGATACTGTTACTTAACCTGATGGATTTGAAATCTGATTTCAGAATACTCTGGTTTTCTGTGGGGAGTTGCAGGGTTTTGGCATGTCTGTAAATCAGGGCATTGGTACCAAGAGTCAGAGGAACTACCACAAGTTTTGTTCTGAATGCCTTTTGATGCATTTGTTGTAATGGGGATGAGGGTCCCTGGAAGACAATATAGCACTTATATGTCTGGGGTTGGACCCACTGGGTTGATACCTGACTTCAGTGCCATGAGAAAAGTAGGCAAAACAGAACTTGGATTCCTTGGTTTTGGGATTCTTTGCCAGTCAAAAAGGCAAGTTCATTCATCTTGTGATCCTGAAGCCCATCAGTAAGTGATGGTGAAACTTTCAACCTGGGACTTGAATGAAAATGAATAGAAGCCTCTGAGGGTCACGGAGGTCTCCTTGGGCATAAACTGCAATGGCTGAATGAATCAGAGGAACAAAACCTTCTCTTGTGATGTGGAAACGAGTTTCACGCCTTCCTTCTCATGTGGTCTTTGTGCACAAACAGCTTTGTTTGTGAGTGTCAAAGGGCAGGGGAAATCCAGAAAGGGTGAAGGTATTTCCTGTGTGTGACAGGCTGTCCTGCTTGGGTCATGGCAGAGATCACGCCTGTCTCTTTTGACCTGATTTTTTAGGCTTTGATCCAGGAATGTGACGCTCTTCCCCTTTCTTGTGTCATGTCTGCCTGTTGTGTTCAGTGACACTTCCTTGAAAGCAAGGGGGACACGTCCTTGTGTGCTGAGGAGTGAGACTTGTGGCTGCCATCCCTTGGTGTGTCTTGACCTCTCCAGTACTTACAGCTTTGTACCCCAAATCAGTTCATCAATTAGCTCATGCTTCTTCCCCAAATTACCACGTCCTTGGCAGCCACTTAGAGCCACAAGCAAAAGATGCTATTTCCCAAATGATAACTGTATATGGACATGCTCATGTAGCTCATCCTACAGGGATCAGGCGGCTCTTGTGTGTTGGCTCTGATCTAGGAACAGCAGTGGCTGCTGGTTGAACTTTCTGGGCTCTTCCCTAGGAGTTGCCCCACTCCCTGGGATATTTTTGTGAAGCCTCAGCAAAATCTCTGGAAATGACTCCTGACTCTTGCAGTGGAGTGGCAGATCCTGGTAGTTTGCTTCTTCATGAAGTGCTTGGAAGGGAGCTGTGTGTGCTGAGCACATCCTTTGGCCACCTGAAGAGCAGAGCAGTGCAAGGTTGTGGCTCCTCCAAACCTCTTCCCTCTGCTTTGGCAGATTTCTGTGCCAGTGTTTGTGGCTTGAGTGACATCCAAGGGAAAGGCTATTTTTCTACCAATCCTTTTTTCTGCCTCTTGTATTTTCCACACATTTTCATTCAGGGGCTTCTGATCTTTAATGGTATCTTCCTTCCCTCTCCTTTTTATATATTTTTTTTCAACTTCTTCAGTTGCAATGCTACAAGTGTCAGATGGTGGTGATGCTTTGCTAAAGGTGCTTTCTTTGTTCCCCTCCTGGAATAGCAGTCAGAAATCTGCACAATGTGATGCCGTAGGTCACAGCAGACCTTGTGCCATGTCACAAAATTGAGGAAAAATAATGTTATGAAGAACAGAGCAACTTCAGAACAAACTGGATTTGCAAACTGGGCCCACTTCAGATGCCTGAGTGCACAATGCTGAACAGAGCTACACATCTCAGGACTCTTCCAAGGAATTCAGGGTGGGTGGTAGACTGTGACAGCTGAGCTCCACTCTTGTCATGCCCTGAGAAGTCCTCCCTCATTTGAGGATTAAACTAGAGCTACTTCCCCGACACAGAACTGCTGCCAAAATTCCAGTCTGGCTCAAGGCACTCTCCACACTTCATAATGAAGTTTGAAAGAGTTTTAACATCTTGGTGTTGGCAGAAACATAGTTTTAAAATCACGGTGTGGTTGGAGACACGCTGGCTCTGGACACTGGTAACAAGGCTGGAGACTTTCATCTGAAGGTCAGATCCAGCTGTGGTGTTAGTGACAAAGTCATGAACTTCTGACTGATGGTTTGGGGCTAACGTGTGGAAACGTGTCTGGAGTCCAACACCAGGACTGGGAATTGGGAGACCTGGGTTCAATTCCTGGCCTTTGCCAGAGCTATTCTGAGAGACCCTCAGCAAGACATTTAAAGTCTTTGTGCCTTAAGTCTCTTTGTGAAAAAGTGTTAAAGGTTTACCTACATCAGTGAGCTCCAAGTCCTCAAACTCACACATGACTGTGGACTCCTGAACACCACTGCATGCAGAAGAACAAAGAAATAGGTGGGATGAGCTGGCTCTGTCCAGCCCATATCAGATAAGTGCCTGGATCACAGCTGTGGGTATTAGCAGTGACTGGTGTCCTTTTTGGGAGCTCCAAGGCTGAGGACCTCATGTTCTCAGGAGACAGCGCTGCTCTCCCGTCTCTGGGTGAGGCTGTTGCCAGAGCAGGCAGCCCCTACTCAGGAAAAACCTTGTGCAGCCCCCCCCTCCAGTGGCTATAGGAGAACTTATTTTCTGTGTTTGGCAGCTGGCACAAATCATCAGCAAACAGCTTCCTGAGAAATTAGCTTTCCAAAGACTCTGCTAACCACGACTGAGCTGCTCCTTCTTTCCAAGACACACATGGGCAGCCTCTCCTGGCAAGCCTTTGTTACTGCTCTTTGGAGTAGCTACCAGTCACTGCATTGCTGTCCTGGTGGACACCTGCCTCCCCTTGGAGCAGTTTTGGATGAGATTCATGCAACCTCCAGCTCTGTTTTTCTCCTGTGCCCAGCTGAGCCGGGGGCAGTGTTCTGTCTCCTGCTGGCTCTCAGCAGGAGGAGCCTCTTCCACAGGGACAGGGTGCTCAGGGCTTGTGTCTGCCTGGCTTGGACAGACAAGCATAAACTGCAGCCTGCAATACTGTAATCCCAAAGCTTCAGACTTTCCCTGCGTGCCAAATTCTTTTGGCTGTTAAATAAGGGTAGGAATTTCGAGGGGAGCTTGTAGAGTACAACTTCTGTGTTTGCTTTTAGCTTCATGAATAGCAGCAGTGACTTGTTTGGCTGTATACTGGGAAAACTCTGAGTTGCCAGCTTTGACGAGCTGCTGTTTTAAAGGAAAAGTTGTCACTTATGTAACTGTTTTGTGTCGACTTCAGAATCACTGGTGCCTCGCACAGCCCTGCTGTGTCTGCAGGTCACCCTGCAGTTCCCAGAGGGGCATAGCAGTGCTCGTGCTGTAATTTGGACCCTGGGGATGCTGTGCTGCTCACAGAGCTCACAAACCTGGCCTGCAGAACCTTGGCTGTGCTTCTGCAGAACTATGTGACCCTATTTCAGGTGGGGGCAAATTGAGGCACAGGGCAGATAGCTGGGAAAAAGGCTCCATGAAGGTCTCTGATGTAGATGTCATGTTGATGTGTTGGTACATCCCAGGTCTGAGTGGTGGGGAAAGGGAAGGCACCTGGAAGGTGAGAAACTATTACTGCTGAGTGAGGAAAGGCTATTGCCAGCCTCTGTTCAATGTCCCAGAAGTCCACATGAAGGGAGAACGTGGGAAACAAGTCATCTCCTACTTGCAGGGCTTTGTAGTGGTGAGATCTCCACAAAGCTGCTGGGGGTACCTGTGGGAGGAGAGGTGTGGGGAAGAACCAGTGGAGCATGAGGGCTTAAGGAGGAAAATAAAAGCTATTGAATCAGATCCATGCTCTAATAAATCCTTGCTGATATTTTGTGTGACTCCTTTTTGTGTAGCTGGGTCACTGTATTCTGCTGACTCCTTGTTTGTGTTAGTTACAGGACTCTCATCAGGCCCACATACAAAATGTCCTACAGAACTGTGACCACGCTGGAGTGGAGGTGCTGTCCTGGCTTCATGGGGAGCAACTGTGAGGAGGGTGAGTTATCCAGCAATCCCTCTGTCCTTATGGAGCAGCAAGGATGGACTGGGGTTTGTTCCTTAATATGCTCTACACCTCTTAAACACAGGAACAAATCGCCTGTTCCCATCACTCCCCACTGTTACCTGAATGTCACACATGAACTCTGAAAGGTGGTCTGCAAACAGGCCTGAACAGGGAGGGGGAAACAAATAAAGAAAAGGGAATCAGGGATGACCTGTTTAGAGATGTGTTCACGCTTGGCATCTCTGTTGTATTCAGAAAATGTGCTTTCTCCTTTTCATGTGTTATCTTCTCCCTGTCCCTGTTATGACCATCAGTTGCTGTGTCCATTAAAAGCTGGCTCCTCGCTGCTTCTGAATGTTTTATGCCTGTAAGGTCTGGACATAAATAATGTGTGCTCACAGAGAACTTTCAATCAATACCTTTGGTTCCCCTTTCTATCTGCTCCTTGACTTACTGGTGCAACATTCATATTGCTCAGTGCATGTGAAAACACAGTTCTCTCAGCACAGAGGAAAACACAGAACTCTTTCCAGAGCAGGAGGAAAAAGTATTTTCCTTTTTTTATCACAATAGGGCATGTTTTACATTTTCCTTCCTAACATTTTCTACTTCTGGAGGTTTGAAACAAGTCCTGCTTCTCCAACAAGTTTCAGGTTTAGGCATCAAGGCATCTGCTGAACCTGACTTGTGAGATCAGAGCTTATGAATAGGAGAAACTAAGCCTGGAGTTTTCTGTTCATTTGCATCAGGTCAACACAGCCTATTTCTGGCTGCTGAAGGGTCATTGGGGGGTGTCCAACATCTCTGAGTCTGCTGTTTGTACTTGTTTTCTTTGTGTTATGATATCTTAACACCAATCACACAATTCAGGCAAATCTCTGACTAGGAACTTGTCTCATTACAGTCCCAAAGAGTGATGGCTGCAGACAGCAGCTGGTTCCAGGCTGCTGAGCAAACAGAAGCTCCACAGAAGTCTGACAAAGTGGCAAAGCTACCCAAAGTTGCAGTCTGCAGGAGACAGCTTTACATTTTAATATAAGGCTAAAAGAAATGAGCCTGAGAGAGAAGCTGCTGTGTGCAGCTTGAGTATTTAGCTGTGCCTGCAGGGAAAGGGGAGCTGAGGATGGTGGCAGAGCTGTCACTTCCAGTGTAGCTGGGTGAGGATGCACCTGGTGGCCTGAGGAGCCCCTCAGGTGTGCCCTGTGTGCAGCCCGTTCAAGCCTGCAGGTTTGGCCAGGTGTGAGTTATTACAGCTTCCTGGTGCTGCTGGTGCAAAGGAGAGATTCCAGCTCCCTTCTGCAGTGCCAGATCTGTCTCAGCAGAGTTCAGTGGAAATAAAAAACCAACATAAGCTTGTTGGAGAAAGCCGGCAGCGATCTCACAGGAGCAGGTCTGTGGAACGAGGTGACAATTTTATACAGTTACTTTTCAAGGTGGAACTGTTCTTTTGGGCTTGGATATGGTCGATGGAGTGTGAGAAGAAAGCCAGTAGTAAGCCCTTAGTTTCATGTGTGAGATTCCTTTTACCTTTTTTTCCCCTCTCCTTAAAACATCTGGTGCTACTGACAGTCCCATATCCTTGAATGAGAGGAAAATAAAAAAAGACCCCTTTTTGGTGCAGCAGGGTTCTGCCACTTAGCTTTTAGTGTAAATACTGGTGCTAGTGGTCTAGATGGCCCTTCAAGCTGTCCATTTTAAAATAGAAATATTTACTTACTCATTATGTTGATTCCTAATGTTAGTGTCACTTGGAAATGAAAGTAAAAATGGCTAAAAAGAGGCTGTTTTAGGGATTTTGGCAACCTGATATAAGGTCTTTTGTATTCTTTCCTTTCTGTGCTCTCCCCTACTGGAAATTTGGTTCCTCTGCGAGGGTGGGATGCTTATCTGTGTGAGTTCTTCCTGGAAACAGCAGACAAAAGGAAACAGAAAACTAAAGTGAAGCAAAACAAAAACAGTGCAGTGATGAAGCCACAGTGAATGAGCAGGGCAGAACCTCAAAATGCTTTCATCTTTCTTTGGTAGTTAGACTTCTCCTCAATATTTCATTTCACTTGTGTTTGCAGCTGGTGCTTTAGAAGTTGATGTGAGGTAGGTATGACTGGAGGCAGCCTGGACCTGCACTGTTTCTAACTTGTTTTCTTGCTGTGTTGCAAATCCTCCCATTCTCTGACAGCCACTGTTGCCAAAGGAATGGCAGCTGCAGTGGCTTTGAGTTCCCACTGCAACATCTCCTGGTTCCAGAGACTGGAGGGAAACACTTCCTTTCCCAATGGCTCTTGGAACAAGGTTGTGTTTTCCTCAGCAGGATGGATTAAGCCAGCAGATAATGGATTGATTAAGCACACAGAAGAGTTCTGGGAGTTGTGTGTGCATGGGCATGGCTGATGGTGGTCTTTGCATCCTGATGATATAAATCTGTCTATAAGATCTGTTGATTCCTTCTTTAACCCCCAGTGAGCAGAGTTAATATTTGGTCCTTTTTTGTGCTGTTCTGGAGCAGTGTCTTTGGGGGAAACCACTGTAGCATATCTGAAGGACAGATTATTTTTACTAGCTGCCCTTACATCAAGCCTTCCTTGCCCTTTTAAAGAGAGAGAACAGGACAGAGAGGGTGAGCCAAGGAAAGAAATCAAAGAATTTGAAGCTATTTAGAGGCTGCAGCTATTTCTGATATCATAATTTGTGATCTCCCAAATGGCAGGTCAGCTTTTCTTTAGCAAAAGCAGCAGTTGAGTGTGGATGTCTAGCCCCAAAGGATGACAGACTCCTGATGACACTGCCTTGCTGTAACACCTTCAGTGGGAAAGCTCCCCTCTGCTAGAGCAAGCTGTTAAATGCAATTCAATCACTGGTGTTTCCATCCTCAGCTGTTAAGTTTAGCTTGAGCAGTAACCACTTAATTGTCACCAGCTGACAGGTACCTACATCAACACTGAAAGCAGCATTTTTAGATTTAAATTATCCTGGGAATCTAACTCCTGCATTGAAGCTGATAAAGAGCAGCATTGTCTGGAGGGGTGGATGGAGATTCTGATCTCAGTGGGCCATTAATTTACTGTAGTAAATGAACCTGGTTCCAACCTGTTTCCTTTTTCAAGCTGACACTGCCTGGGGCTTTCTCCCCTTCCTTTCCTTGCCTTCTACTCTGTCCAAGGCACATCAGTATTTGAAAGATCTCCAGCTCCTTTACTGGTTTTGTAGAACTGCGACCTGCTCATTGAGTGGATAGTCAAAAATCACCAGTTGTACCAGGCCTTCCCAAAGGGTTTCTTGCAACTTCCTTGGATGGAGAAAAAGATTTGATGCAAACCAGTCTGGTGAATATAACTGTCACTAGATACTAACTTTTATTTTCCAGTTTCAGGGGGCTTTTGTTTTGTTTAAAGTGGAGCCCAAGCCTAGGACAGGAAATGAATGCACTGAGCCACCCAGTCTGCTGACTGCTGATATAAAGAACATATGGATGAGGGCAGTGCAGGGGTGAAGTGGTTTAGCCGTTGCAATCATGCATCAAGCTGATTGATTTGAATCCAAGATGATGCTGACATTTCAACTCAGCCTTTTTTTTTTTTCTTCTGTATGGCTGAAAGTTCAAAGGCAAATGCAACCTCTTGGGAAAGGAAAAGTGTCCCCAGCAAGTTCAGGGGCTCAGTGCTGCCCTAGAGCTCTCCAGCCAGGCAAGGTCTTATTTTACTTCACAAATATAAAGTAAAATTCCCTTCCTTGTTTGTTTGTACTTCCTTTTAAGTTTGTTTGTACTTCCTTTTAAAACTCCTTTCCTTATTTGTTTGTACTGCTTGAGTTTGGGACAGTAGCCAGTATCCTATTTACCCCAGAAGCAGACTGATGGTAGACAGCTTAGCTGTTTGGGCAAGAAACAGCTCCCAGAGTAACCTCAGCACCTCTAAAGTGATACTATTGTGATTCCAAGCTTATTATTTTTTCCTTTCCTAAGAATGCAAGTAAGATAGGAAATTTGAGCAGCCTTGTTCAAGTAATGGCTTAATTGGTGAACTTCCTTTTTTTTATGTCTCCCCCTCCTCATTTCAGTTCTTGGAATATTATGATCTACTTCTAATAACTATTGTTTGCATCTTTCTTGTCATCCTGGTATTTTTCAAACCTCTTAGATTCCCATGTGTTTACAGTCTTCAAAGCAGCATAAGAAAATGAGGACTTTCCTCGTGGTATGATGGAGTGTAAAAACCCTTTTCATTTTTACTGCTGGTTTACAAAATTTCTTGGTCCCAGGGGCAGAGATGTAGAACAACACTGCCAGGAAAGTCTTAAATAAGCAAATGTAATTACGAGACAAAATTTGATGAGACTGTGAGAAAGGACATCAAAACAAGAGACCTGAAAGTCTGAAAGCCCATTGAAGTGCTCTGAAGGAAGGGAATTCAAAGTGGTCATTCAAAGTGGAATTTATGGTCAAAGTGGAATTCAAAGACCTCATTTCTCCAAGCCTTCCCCATGAACTATTAAAACACAGAACTGTCCATGATGTGAAAATGCGACTCAGAGATTATGAAGTAACATTTCCTGTAGTATCACAGGAGTTCTCTCTAGGAGTTGAGCTGGTGTGTTCTCCTTTTCTCAAGTCCCTCAGTTCCTTCCTCAGCGGAGCTTTTTGCTGCCACTGAGCTTCTTCATCTTCTCTTAGAAACTGAGAAATTGTAAGAGAAAACAGTGGGAGTCAGAGCCATTGCAGTGCCTGTTCCTGCTGAATCCTGGTTCAGTGATGTCTGCAGCTGAATCCAACTCCTGCCATAAAAAAAAAGCTTCCCTGAGAACAGTGAAATTCTCCCCAGGGTGGTGTTTTCAGTGCCCTCTGACTGGCTGGGCAGTTCTGTGCTGCAAACATGGCAGACTGAGGTTCCTTCCCTTCAAGCTTGGCTCTAACAGGGCTGTAGTTCTCTATTACAGACTAGTTTAGTAATTCCTTTAGGAAAATGTGGCTTAGCTCTCATTTGAGACCATTGAAACCA